TTAACAGAGCAACTTTAAGCACTGATGCCAGAAAGCAGTTATGTGAGAAAACAGCCAAATGATACCAAAACACACCAACTCGTCAATCAAGCAATTCTTTTTATTTGATGAGAAGGTGGTGGGGAGACAGAAAATCTTTCTAAACTGTTTGAGCAAACAGGGAAAACATGCCATATGAATAAAGCACTGAACTGAAAAGATCTCCAGTAAGAGTTATGCAAGAGTCCCATGACCATTTCAATGACCACATCGCCGACCATTTCTATATATTATCATTTGTAATTGTATATACATTGCGGTGATTAATTGTGGCTGGAGCAATAATGTAGCTGTAAAAATAGTTTCCTGCTGAAATTGAAATGTATATACATCTTCATCATGACTAGATAGACACGGTGAGTTTGTCTTTACTATACACGTTAGATGTGATCCACCTCATAGTAACAATCCTGTCAGATCGTCCATCCTTTGAGTGAGAGTGCAACGTTACAGGTCGGCCGATCTGGTTTCGTGGTTAAAGTTAACCTTTTCGACATGTGTCCGTGTTGTTGTTGCTCAGTCAGCAATGGCATGGACGTGATGTTGTCTGGGGGTTTGGCAAAAGGAGAGTGGGACTGTGGGCGGTGCTCGGGGTGGCGACTGAAGGCGGTGACTGTGCAGTTCTGACGTCAACTTTTTACGGAAGTCACGGTTCGTGAAAAATCACAGCTACTTTATGTAGGCTGTGTGCATTTTACTGTGGACTGACAGTTTTGAAACTTATATGGTAGTTAAACAGCCCCTAGACCTCAGTTATTGTGAAAAAAGCCAGGACATTTCAGTTTTTACAATATGGGACCTTTAAATGTTGAAATAAAATAAAACATAAAATGTTGAAAAAAAAAAACTTAAACTGAAGAAAAGTTAGAAATATCTTGGCAACTAACTAAAATAAATAAGTTTAATAAAATAAAACTATTAAAACTGAAAAAGTTAAAGCTAAAATTAGAATAAAATTGTAATGAAAATTGCAAATACTAAAAAAAAAAACTAATTCAAAATATTAATAAATACTATAAATAATACTAAAACATTACTGTACAATATACCTCGTAAAAAAAGCTTAGTTTTTATTTTAACACAAATTAATTCACAATTATCTTAAGTAACGTTAAATGTAATATTGTACTACTCTCAATCACAACAAATATAACAACCTGGAAGGTATCGTGTATGAAATATGTACATCCCCCAAAACGTTATTTTTTCTTCCAACAAAAAGAAACTTGTTGATGACGTTCCCACTTATTGCTTGAAGATGTTCTGTGGCGTTAAGTAATCGTCTAAATGTACATTTAATTTAGCTTTAAAAACAAAACTGTAAATATCCACTTCAAATTAAATCGACTCCTTAATGTTTGTGTGCTAGTGTAGCTAACTTATAGTTTAGCTGACTGAATTTCAGAAAAATAAGTACTCTTCCACTCCGCTGCGCGGTGACAGTAAAGACGCCTCAGCATCAGAGAGAAAACGCAGCGCGGTGTGAATCCTCACGTCTCGTGCTTTGATCCAGAGGCAGAGCGCGGGCGGCCTCGCTCAACTCCACTCGACCGAGCAGCAACGATTCCAAAAGAGCCGCCATTCTGCTCAGAGGAGCAAGGGAGTGACGTCACGAGCCTCTTGTCAGGGCCGGGATTGGCTGAGCGATGCAGCGCGCGCAAACCTTAACAACACTGCCGACATTGACAGAACTTCAAAATAAAAGTTCACAGGACACTTGCGGTCGACGGTCGTACCTTCCATTTGATTATTGAGTAAAACTGTTAAAAACAATGTCTTGGGAAAAATATTAAATATTTGTTTTATTTGAATTTAATTTAGTTTTGTGATACAAATGACATGTTTTCTAACCAATAGCCACATTCAGACACATATCTTTTAAAGATGCAGATTTAACCTTTTAATTTGTTCTGTAAAAAAAGTTTGTAACTCTTTTAAAAGGTTGTATGTGTTTTTAAGATTTTTAAGAATGATGTGCCCTACAGAACAAACACAGGGCCATATTTAATTCTCAATTGGTAACTCATAATTTCATTCAACTAGATGTGTTATGGAACAACCTGTTGAACAACCCATATATCTATCCTCATCTAGCCTCATTTTCATTTGCAATAATAATAATAATAATTATGTGGTGTTTACTCTGAATAAGAGCCATGAACTCATCATTGTATTTAGAACAATAGAGCTGTTCAGTCATGATGTCAATTTACCTCAATCTAAAAGACTAGCTTGCCATGGGTTCCTCTGGGAAATTAGATTTAGCCAGTTTAGCCACTTAACCTCAAAACCAGTTCTGAGATTAAGAGGCTAAAGAAATGTTCAAGTTTCGTTTTAAAATATCTGACACACTGTATTTAGCAAGTTGTTAGCAACCCACACTTAAAAAAAAACAAAAAAAAACACTGTGACTGTAATTTATGTTGACCTGACATAGGCTACTCCATGTGCTATTTTTGCATGAATCAAAAACTGTTAACCTATAAACAGTAAATTTGAAAGTGTTACTTCTCTTGGAGTTCAATTTCACTCTATCGTGACTCAAAAGTGGTAATGGGTTTTAGCACTAAACTGAACAGTTTTATGTGCTGCAATAAATACAAAAGAACAATGCTGTTACCTATATTGGTCCCTACATATTTGTCTAAAATTGTTATTAAGACACTATATCGTGAGCAAACTATATAAAACGAGCAGCTTGTGTAGTAAACAAAAAAGAATGAGACAATTACTGCCACAGTCTCTCTATGGAAAACTGGAAACCTTTACAGACAGACCCATGCAGACCGGACAAACATAAATAATAATCTTAATAAGCTCTGCTTGTTTGCACTGCATGCACAGGAGGCGTGCCTTCCTTACCTGTGTTTATGAACCTGTTTGGCTACAACTTCTTGTCCGTATATGTAAACATCCAAATCAATTTGTTTAGGGAATATTTACATGGTAAACTATCTATAACTGTGTGGGCAGTTTACAATAAATACTGGGAGTTTACTGGGTGTTTCCTAGGATTGCACTAGAAAGGAAGTAAAGTGATTATAATAGAACATAATAGAAGTGCAGGTAACAGGTCTTTGCTTGTCCAAATCAGGACACGGGCTTCCCTTCCCCCTCAGAAATGATAAACCTGCTCTTTCATCCTTTACCAACTACTGAACTGTATGCACATAATGCACACTTTCAACTCACTTATCAAATACACAATAGAGCAGAAATATTGACTGAAGGTCAAGTGCACTCGTTACATTACAGCATATTCCTAGAGAATTAGCTAACTGCTCTGCTAATCTGTCTTGCTCCTTAAAGGGATAGTTAAAATATGAACATTTCTGTATTCATTTTCTCACCCTCCACTTATTCCAAACTTATATGAGTTTCTTTCTTTTGCTGAACACAGAAGAAAATATTTTGAAGAATGTTGATAGTATGGAAGTCAATGGTTACCGTCAACTGTTTCGCCATGATGACAGAAACACATTTTTGGGTGAAATATCCCTTTAAGATTCAGATGCGATTCTTGAGCTGGAAAAAAAAAAAAAAACTATTTATTAATAATACTCTGTAAAAAGATACTCGATTCTCCGGGGTTCCTCAAATTTACACATTTGTGGAACCTTCTGGAGAACATGTAAGCACCCTTCCAAAAAGGGCAGTTCTCGAAAGAACAATAAGAAAAAATACATTAGCATAAATTCCTACAAAAAATTTAATTTTTATATATTTATTTATTAATATATTTTATAAATATTCATTTTTTAACAATAATAATATTTAATTGATCTCTTACATTGTTGCAGTAAATAGTTAACGTTGAACTGTGCGTTGTGCGATGGGCGTTGAGTGACAGTCGGCTGGTCCAATAGAGCAGAAGTATTTCTCCTAGCAGCACCAGTGGGCGTGTCTAATGGGGGCTCGGCGTGTGTATCACAGTTAGTGCAGCTGTAGTATTTACAGCCCCACTGTCCTTCCCACAAGAATGCAGTTATTGTCATTTACATTATTTCCCAAGAGGTTGCTTTATAGCAACAACTCCGTTTATGTAATCCTGCAGTGACTGCCTCTGTTGTAGTATTTTGCATTAGTGTCGCGCAGCGAGCAGAGGAAAGAGTGCGCGCTCCGATCACGCGAGTACGATGGAGGGCTCGTCGGGGGAAGGTGACCTGTTTACCGTCAAACACGAGCTCAGAAACGGTAAATGAACGCCGGGCTGTCTGTCCCGCACTTCTATTTAAGAAACAACGCTTATATATAAATAATGCTTTCGTTATATCGTGGAAGGGACAGCGTTAATGTTAGCTGGTTGGCTAGAGTAAAAGCATGAGTAAGGCTATTAGTAGCCTATATTAATATATATATATTGATATCTGTATCACATATGGTCCTCCAGCCTGGGGTACTTTGAGGTTGGAGGATCTTCTGCATGTGCAATTGCATAATTCACATTCATAACCGCAGTTGCACTTAAGTGCACTTGCGTTTCAGTGCATGTTGTGTTTGAAACATTTGAAAGAAATTCGATTGACATTGAAGAAAAGATTTTACTGTATGGAATTAATTGCGTTTATTTGTGTCGGTGGTTTCAGTAGTTGCTCAGTCATGGCCTTGAGTCCAACGAAGCCCAATTACTGGCTAATTTAATCTCTAGGGCCCTGATGTTGTCTTTGTATAGTAAATGAAGTTACCAGGTTTGTGTCCTCATTTGCCTGTCTTAGTGAATGCTTAATAGGCACATTCCATCAATATGGTCCAGTACTTTGTTGTCTTGTGACATTTTTAGAGGCACCAATGCCACATTTTGGTTGTGAGAGCTATTAGATATGTTTAATAAAATATTACGTAACATAAAATTAACCTAACACGATAAACTAGTTTCAAATGCCTGTATGGCCACTATAAAACGGATTTTGGCATGTTGTCTTCAGACTGTCTAATAAAACAAACAAAATAATAATAAAAAAATGAATGTAATAATTTTTGACAGTCTATCAGAAAACGTTACTGCAGTGTTACAGAAAATTTAACATTTCTTAAAATTGTGACGCCCATGGAAAAAAAACAACGACATAATTTAGTCTTTCACTAGAGCATGATGGGATGCAATCTCATTCCATTTTCTCACATTTGACAAAAAATATAGTATGACTGCATTCATCAAGCTATGCAATTCAACCCTGTTACCCAAGTTATTGTAAGAAAAAAATCATCAACCAAATTTTCTTTAATTTGTTAAACCGTATTTTGAAATACCGAATTTTGTAACAAAAAGTAATATTTATTTGAATAACTATGTAATAATTCAATGTATTTTTATATAACTTATTAAATTCATATTCAATTAATTGTAGAACAAACCATTTCTGATTCTTAACCAATTTTAATGACAAAAATCAAATATTTAGCTCTCTGTTCCACATTCTTAGCACAACGCTGTTACCACACTGTTACAGAAAATGTGTAATTTCTTAAAATTGTAACACCCATGAATTTTGACTTTTATTGCAGCATGATGGGATGTAGGCCTAATCTCATTCCATTGTACTCTATTGTTGAAAATCGCAGTATTTATTTTGCCATCTTGACACAGATCATCTCATGTCTTTAAAGGTCTGTTTTGACTTCTGTATTATATCATAAAACGGGTTTCAATTATTGATTTATCAGCCAGGCCAAATGAGCAGTCAGTATTTTCAGATTGTTTGCACATAACTGTGCAGATCGGCAGATTAACAGTCGTGGTTATTCCGTGTGGTTATTAATAGCATTAATAATAGCATTTCCAAATAAGAGATTTGTGAATAGATCACAAATTTTCGGTTTTCAGGAAATATTGTGCAAAATACTGTTTTGCAGTCATTAAAATGTCTTTTGCGATTGTCCACTTTGTTTCAGCAATTAGGAAACCCATATCAGTCGACCACAAGTCTCAAGTATTTAAGTTACTAATCCAGATCCAGATATTAGACTCTGTAGTGCATTGCTGTATGACTAATGCAGGTCAATACGGATGATCCATTTACAGGCACTTAATTGTTTCTGGCTTGTTATGATTAACAAAGTGTGTAACCTTAGAGTGCAGGACTAAAGACTAGAAGGGGTCACCTGATAAGTCTCACCTAAGAAAGCCCATTGGGGACGAGATTCTCTCCATTAATGCTTTCGGGTCCCGAGTGGAGAACGTTGCGGTCTGGAAGCTTATTAATAAACATTGTGGTTCCCATGGGCCTCTCTAGAGTGCTTGCACCTTAAACATGCTGCTTGAGAGGATGTGGTAATAGAATATGTTTTTCTTTCCCTTCTAAAATCAGATAATTTGCAAAGATGGAGAAAGATCATGATTTTGTTAGAGATGCAGTGCTACTGTGATTGAGGGTAACAGCAGGAATGCATTCACTTCACTGGGCATTCTCATTGGTATCTACTGCATAAAACAAGTGACCTTACTTCAGGCTGCACGCTACCGTGTAAACATATACCACACACATGCTCGCGTTCTTCAATGTCTCATTCATGAAGGCTGTTTTGTTTCCTCTGAATCATCAGGCTCTTCGTTATTTATGAGTAGGCCCACACAGAATCTGCACCTGCAGAACTCAGATTTCTGAAGTTTGATTACATTACCGTTCAAAAGTCTCTTAAGCTCACCAAGGTTGCATTTATGTAATCAGAAATACAGTAAAAACAGTAATATTGTGAAATATTATTGCACTTTTAAATTTCAAAATGTTTTTTATTCCTGTGATAGCAAAGCTGAATTTTCATCAGCCATTTCTCCAGTCTTCAGCATCACATGATCCTTCAGAAATCATTCTAATATGCTGATTTGGTGCTCTGTAACATGATAAAAGTCACTACTGTCACTTTTGATCAGTTTAATGGATCCTTGCTAAATATTAACTTATTAAAAAAAAAATTACTGACCCCAAACATTTGAACGGTATTTCCTGATTTCATAATGCTTCGGTTGCCGCTTTTGTTTCAGCCTGTTTAAATATTTAAAGTCAGTGCAGAAAATGCATAAAAAAGTTTCCATCTGGACCTGTTTATAAGCTACATACTGTATTTACAAACAGCTGCGGGCTCGTCTCCAAGGGTTCGCCATTTTGAACACTTTTTCTGTTCTCACAGTTGTGAGAAAGTGGCAAAGGTTCAAGTAACCAAAGTTGAGAAGGTTTACGGGAGGTTTTCTTGTATGGTATCCAAGTGAAGAACATGATTTTTTTTGGGCCGTGTGACCAGATGGATGTGTTTAAATCTTTCCCCAGCCAATCTGACGGGTCACGCGGAGCGAGTGGGCATTGAGAACTTTGAGCTGCTGAAAGTGCTGGGAACAGGAGGTCAGTGATAGTTCAAGTATGTGAACCCTGCGTTCTCTGCTTATCTTTGTTCCTACTCCACTAACACATCGTTCTTCTCCTCCGGGCAGCCTACGGCAAGGTGTTCTTGGTTCGCAAGGTGAGCGGCCATGATTCAGGTAAACTCTATGCCATGAAGGTGCTGAAAAAGGCCACTATTGTGCAGAAGGCGAAGACGGCAGAGCACACACGCACGGAGAGACAGGTCCTCGAGCATATCAGACAGTCTCCTTTCCTGGTTACACTCCATTATGCCTTCCAGACAGACACCAAACTGCATCTCATTCTAGGTATGCTCTCTCCTCTCTCTCTTTTGGATTGCAAAAATGTTAACTGCACTTTATGCTTCAATTTTACTTCTGCATTTAAAGGGGTCATATGATGCGATTTCAATTTTTCCTTTCTCTTTGGAGTGTTACAAGCTCTTGGTGCATAAAGAAGATCTGTAAAGTTGCAAAGACTAAAGTCTCAAATCCAAAGAGATATTCTTTATAAAAGTTCAGAGTCAGCCACACCTACCTAAAACAGCTCGTTCTAACACGCCCCCACATACCTACGTCACAATGTGGGAAGATTTGCATAACACCGCCCAAATGTGCACGCAAAGAAAGAAAGCGTGGTTTCAGGAACAGCAGTAGTGTTGATGCAAAAGTGCAAAAGCACTTTATTTGGCCTTCCGGAAGTAGATGCAATTAGGAATCATTGGTTAAGATTTATTTACAACAGAACAGCACAACCCAGATGTTCGAATTAGTGCAACGCATTTTATGGACGACAGCTTTTTGAACCTAGAAGAGTACAAGGCTGGATGTGCAAAAAGGCTATTTCTAAAAAAAAACAAAAAGGTTCAATTCCGACTTTGCTATGACAATCTGGCGCTTCTGAATCAACGCACTGGATAGCTGGCTAATCAGAGCACACCTCGCTTTTCAGACCGATTAGTTTTGTAAAAATCGACGCGTTTCAAAAAGGCGGGGCATAGAGGAGAAACAATAATGTACAGTATGTGGAAAATAATGTGTTTTTTTTACTTTAAACCGCATAAACGCATTTCATTACACCAAATACACAAAATAATGTTCTTTTTAGCAGCATCATATGACCCCTTTAAAAGAGTGCAAGCAATGCAGGCAGAACTTTTCTTCTGCATTGCTCAACAGTTTTGTTATTGTGAGCTAATAGTGCTCTACCAAGCAGACTTTATAAGGTTTTGCTCTGATTCTGTTTTTGTGTGATTCAGTCGTAGTGAGCGTTTAGTCAGTCTGACTGCAAATAGCTTAGTGAGCAAGTATACATTGATATCTCACTTCACAGGAAGTGGGCAGGGAAATTTACCCATCAGTCATTGTGCACAGCCTCAGGCATTTTATTCAGCTTAATTAACCTTAACAGTACGAGAGTATAAAGTGCAGCAGATGTGACTGTTAGAATGCCATTATTGTATCCATCTCTTACATAACAAGAAGATAAACACGCTATAAATAATTATAAAACAATAGTTTATTTACTTACTTATATAGTTAGTTAAAAACAGTAATATTGTGAAATAGCATTACAATTTAAAATAACTGTTTTATTTTAATGTATTTTAAAATGTTGTTTATTCCTTTGATAGCAAAGCTGAATTTTCTGCAATGCATCCATTACTCCAGTTCTCAATGTCAAGTGAGAAGCATCAGAAATCATACTGACATGCTGGTCTGATGATCAAGAAACATTTCTTATTATTATCAGGCAGCTTAATATTTTTGTGGAAACCATGATACATTTTTAGCATTCTTTGATGGATACACAAAGTTCATAAGAACAGCATTTATTTGAAATATTACTTTTTTAACAATGCCAAAATCTTTACTGTCATTTTTGATAAATTTAATGTATCTTTGCTGAATAAAAGAATGAATTTCTGTCATCATACTGACCCCAAACCTTTTAACGGCAGTGTGTAATTTATTACTTTAATTTAAATGAGTTTATATTTTAATAATTGATATTTTTTGTTTGTACATCGCCATCACGCTTGAAGCCCCTTCTTTATGTGACTCAAGCAGGCCCGGATTGGCTAATTGGGAGCACCGGGAGGATTTCCGGTGGGCCGGTCTGTTTTTTGGCCGCGAGGGCCAGTGTGTTGTCATGCTACTGGGTTGAAATATGCTGCCTGCACTCACAGCAGCCCTACTCTTTTTATTTATTATTTTCTCGCAGCCCATATAATTTTTTTCACCAGACCATAATAATAACAAATTCTCAATTGATAATTAATCATTCTTTTTGCGATAATCATTGTTATTTGTGAACGTAGGCGTTTGAGGAAGGCTTTAAGACCAAGCGGGAATCCTCTGCCGGCTGCTCCCGCTTCACAGCGAGCTGCACCCAGGATCACTGTCCGCGTTTTGATTTTACAAAATCAGTTTGGGCGAATGCAACTTCTTGATCATGAGCCCAACATTTAGCAAGGCAGGAAAACATTCAGTCTACCTGAATGAAGACGTATTTCATTGTAAGTTAATGCTGTTAAATAGAGAGAGAAAAAAATACATTGAAAAAAACTTTTTAAAAAACTAGTGTAGGCTATTCTTAAACTTGGACCTCGTTATATTGAAGTACAAATCCAAGCACCAGAAGCAACCTACACTTTCATTGAAAAGTATGCATTTTTATTCATTCACAGGCTATATGGTTGAAACAATATTTTAGTTCAAAACTTTAAGTGCCATTGTTTAAAAAAATGCTTTATTGACTGACGTTTCATAGACCTTCAGTTGTTATGCTTTCAAATTCCATGCCATTTGTAATTTCACAGTATTTTCACCTAAGTCACAATTCTATAATGGTAAAATGTACTTAATTTTTTGTATGACATACAATTTTTTTTTTTTTTTAGAATAATTGTACATAAATGGGTTAAGCAAAACAAATGTGATTATTTCTGAGAACTTTTTAACTGCAGGCAGATATAGGCCTACATTATTGTATAGTACAAATATTTTGATTGTCCCTTATTCTGTCCCTTATTTTCTTAAAGAATAAACACTTATTTTGTACAAGAATAAACACTTTTCTTAAAGAATAAAAGATAAAGAATCGCAATTAGCCCTTATTTTATTAATGATGATGTAATTCTCTTTTGACTCCCCTGACAGTGGCACCTTGCTCAAAAAAACAAAAACAAAAACCTCAGTTGTAGGTGATATGCGAGCGAATAATAGATTAAAGAAAAAAGTGGGCCGGTCTAAGGCATGAAACTCCAGGGCTGAAAATGAGTCCCACTCCGGCCCTGGACTCAAGTGCTGTTTGATGAAGCCGAAGGGCATTCCTAATAAAGTGAACTTCTACACATCCCCTCTCGAGTGTGTAGAGACCAGTGAACTCTGCAGTTAATGTGCTTTACTAATGAAAAGCGGAAGCCCCTGTACCACTACAGGAACTCTTGGTTTTTGTGGTAACGCTTGGAACCGATTGTGTCAGTGTCAACATTAAAGCAGGATTTTGCAGTAACTGCACAATACCATGTGCATCAGAAATATAAATCTGTCTTTGACCAGTTGCAATTTTGTTTTATATACCTTAAATTTCAGACTATGTGAACGGAGGTGAGCTCTTCACGCATTTGGTTCAAAGAGTTCGCTTTAAAGAGCAAGAGGTTACCTTGTACAGCGGGGAGATTGTACTAGCACTGGAGCACTTGCATAAGGTAAAATTGCTGCCGCACTTATTTTCACACTTCATTTCCTTTGCAATCTGACTGAACGGCGCCTCATTTCAAGAGAATAGTGAAAGTAGTTCCGTCCTTTACTCAGGAGGTACTTCTCCTCTCTCCTGCCTACTCAGATCAATTCCTCACTCAGCTAACCAGGCCAGGCCAAATGTATCTGCAGTGCTCAAAATTTCCCGAAGGCTGTGTTAACAGAAAGAGGAAGAAAAGTGTTTTTAATGCATGCTTGTTCTGTGCATAGCAGAGAGAAGAGAACTGCCCTGGAGGCATTGCAGTGTGAGTAGGTAGGACCTTGACAGTGAGATTAACATTGTTTTGGTTCAGTCTCATTTTGTGTCATTGCCTATTATGTTGCCTTTTATTATTTATTAAAGTAGTGGTGCATTTTTCAGGTGAATGGCTGCTTTTTATGACTCCAGACAAGTTAAGGTTGTGAACACAACATTTGAGCAAATACTTTTGGCAAGGATGAATAAAATGTTGTTGAAAGATGACGTGAAATGTAAGTATTTGGTCCCACATCCAAATATAAGATCTTATTCATTCCTGTTTGTTTTTCAGCTGGGAATCGTCTACAGAGACCTAAAACTTGAGAATATACTTCTTGATTCAAGCGGTCACATCGTGTTGACGGATTTTGGTCTTAGTAAGGAATTTCATGAGGTGAGTTTGTGTTACTCTACATAGTTTTCTCCTTTGAGAAACCCTTTGTGCACTTTGGATTCCTTCCAGTTATCCATATTTGATTAAAACATTAATGATTAAAATTACTGTGCTTGTTTTTTCTAAAACATCAAAAATGGATAACCATTTTAACATTTGTTAAAAATTACATGTAATAGTGTTAATAAATTATAATTTATTATAATAGCAAAGGAAACCAAAACGAGCCTGCTCAATTAAATATCCAGTATCTGCTGGTATATATCAAATAATGACCTATACCAGTCATTTAAAAAAAAGAAAAACATCAGCCGATAACCTATATGGTACCAATATGTTGTACATCCCTAAAGTGTTTCCCATTGTTCCCTCTAAACTTCACTTTTGATGTTGTTATTGCACAGAATGCAGGCTCAGAAACTTGTGTGGAAAAGTTGAGTTTTCAGTGTTTCAGCTGGAGTCTGTCCGCATATCCACTGATTTACAGTGTGGAGGAAGTGAAAATGGGAGAACATAATGTGTTGACATAAACAGTGCTGATTAATTCATGAGATAAGGGCTGCATCCTAACACAGTCTTCCTAGTTCATAGTAGTTCATATTAACTGCATATTGATTCTTTTTCATGTACACTACCGCTCAAAAGTTTGGGATCAGTTATCAGTAAGACTTGCAATGTTTTTTAAAGAAGTCTCTTCTGCTCATCAAGGCTGCATTTATTTGATAAATACAGAAAAAAAACAGTAATATTGAAAAATGTTATTACAATATAAAATAATGGTTTCTATTTGAATATACTTTAAAATCTAATTTATTCCTGTGATGCAAAGCTGAATTTTCAGCATCATTACTCCAGTCTTCAGTGTCACATGATCCTTCAGAAATCATTCTAATATGCTGATTTATTATCAGAGCTGGAAGCAGTTGTGCTGCTTAATATTTTTTTTTGGAACCTGTGATACTTTTCTTTTTGACTTTTTATTCATCAAAGAATCCTGAAAAAGTATCGTAGTTTCCAAAAAAAACAATTTGGCAGCACAACTGTTGCCAACATTGATAATTCTATTAATAAATCAGCATGTTAAGGATATTAAAATAGAAACCATTATTTTATATTGTAATAATAACATTTCGCAAGATTACTGTTTTTTTTCTGTACCTTTGATCAAATAAATGCAGCCTTGATGAGCAGAAGAGACTTCTTTAAAAAAACATTGTAATTTTCTCAGAATATACATTTAATGTAATTTGCCAATGATTTCGAAACGATTTGTTCCAAGCAAGTTCGGAGCAAACCCCTCCCTTCCATAAGCCTACTCTGCTCTGATTG